AGCCCAGCCCGGGTGGACAGTCATCCTGCAGCAGTGACCACTCACCCCTGGGCAGCACCACCAACAACGACAGTGGCGTGGAGATGGCTGGAAACGCCGGTGGCAGCTACGAGGACCTGTCCACGCTGGAGGACGTGATGCCTGGTGAACCCATGGGCACCTCGGGGCTCATGGCTCTSCATAAACTGGAAAATCTTCGAATCGACAAGCTGAAGCAGCTGAGGAAACCTGCAGCTTCCAAGGGGYTGAACCTGCCACCCATCCCTGGAGCTGGTGAGATCGGGGTGCTTCCCACCGGGATGTGGGGCTGGTTTTGTGGAAAGTGTGTGGAGAGCTCTGGTTGGCAGCCAGAAAATTCCACACCTTCCTTTTTTAGAGGTAGACCCCAAAATCTGGGGAAATCTTAGAGCCCTTTCAAGAGCCTAAAGGGGTTCAGAGAGAACTGGAGAGGGATTTTGGGAAAAGGCCTGGAGTGATAGGAAAAGAAGGAATGGCTTCCCACTGCCAGAGGGTAGGGTTGGATGGGCTTTGGAAGGAATTCCTCCCTGTGAGGGTGGGCTCAGAGAAGCTGTGGGTGCCCCTGGATCCCTGGAAATGTCCAAGGCCAGGTTGGAGCCACCTTGGATAGTGGAAGGTGCCCCTGCCCATGGCAGGGGGTGGAACTGGGTGGTTTTTAGATCCCTCCTAACCCAAACCATTCCACAATTCAATGATTTTTCCAACCTGACTGAGCTTCTGCCCTTCTTTGCTGCCACCTGCGAGKACAACATGGTTAAAGCCACATCCTGGCTCTGGAGGTGTCACTGCTGTGACATTGCTGCCACCCTCGGGATTAACTCCTCCTTCTCTCCCCCAGGMCTGCCCGGGGAGGTGCCCGGACTCCCGGTTCCACCCCCGGCCTCTCACCGGCGCATCMCGGAGCTGTCCACAGCCGAGCTGGGGTTGGCAGCCCTGGGCGAGCGCCGGAGCAGCGGCACCAGCACCGTCAGCTCCGCCTACACCGTCAGCCGCCGCTCTTCGCTGGTGTCACCGTACCTGGGCGGGCCGTGCCYGGGCGGTGACACCGGAGCGTTGCCCGGCGGGACGTGCCCGGTGGATGGCTACGATGCCGTTTCTCCGGACGAATCGCGGCGCTCTGGTGATGCCGCTGTTTGCGGGGGGCTACCGGGCGTGGGCAACCTCACCCCGGCGCAGCGTTACCGCCTCAAGGCCAAATACGCCGCGGCCACCGGCGGGCCCCCGCCGACCCCGCTGCCCGGWGTGGAGCGGGTGGTGGCCGGTGGCCACCTCGGAGTGCCCGGGGGCTACCCCGCGCCTGCTGGAGGTCGCTGCGTCACCAACGGCTTGTTGAGGAGGCACAGCTCCAACGAGCATCCTGGCTACCCAGGAGGTGTCCCCGCTCACCTGGCGCCCCGGCAYGGAGTGAGACGGGCGAGTGACCCTGCCAGGACGGTGGCCAAGCCTCCGGCCCCGCCCAGGGTGCAGCGGTTTAAGAGCGTGGGGAATGTGAGCGTGCCGGGCGCGGGCAGGACGGCGCTGCAGCCCTTGGACGGCTCCGAGGTCAACTTGCAACGCCACGGTTTCTCCCCGCGGCCCCCCAGCATCACTGAGAACGTCTTCCTGGAGAGCATGGGGGGCTCCGGCCCCGAGTCYGGCTTGCTGGAGATGGATCAGTACCTGGGCTATCCCGAGGAAAGCTTCCCGTGCCAGGGCGCCAGTGTGGAGCTCCAGGGGGGCATCTACGGCGCTCACCGGACCATGGGAGGGACACACGGGGACATGGAGGAGGGGCTGCTGCAGCCCGAGTTCTCCCTGCCGCAGTGCCAGATGAACCAGCACTTCCCCAGTTTGCCAGCTGGGAATGGGGCCGTGCCCGCGCCTTGGGATGGACCCTCCCAGGGCACGCTGGATATGGGATCCAGGCAAAACATAGCTCCCGCCGTGTCCGGGCAGCACTGTCCCCATCAAAGCGTCGAGTAYCCCCATCCCAGCGCCTGCGGGCAGCATCCCAGACTGGTGAACTCGTGCCAGGACGGTGGATTTTCAGGCGGSCACCGGTTCAACCGACTACAGATCAAATCGGAGCAGCGATACCCAGCGCCTGCTCCAGCACTTGCTCCCTGCTCCAGCGCCAAACTGGCCGGGCCCCCTCTGTCCCCCGCTGCTTTTGGCCACGCCGTGGATGTGGGGCCGGGCGGGTACCCCCCCTCGGGGCCGGCACCGGGTGGGTACATGGGCATYGCCAGCCCCGGTGCCCGCAGAGCGCAGACCCCCACCCTGCAGACCAAAGAAGTGATGGTCCGGAACTACGTGGAGGCGCAGCAGGCGCTGATGTGGGGCGAGCAGACCCCCTCCAAAGGGGGTGTGGGTGGTGTGGGGCTGGGCAACGAGCCCGGGCAGTGCCAGGCCATGCCAGCCCCGCCGTACCTCAGCCCCAGGTACTGCGGTTACCAAGCCAAACCGGATCACCTGCAGAGCCTGCCGGAGCCCCAGCACCTCCTGAGCTCTCCCTGCTTCAACCCCGAGATGGTCCCGCACCCTCCGGGTGGCCCAAAACCGCCGGGTCACCAAACCAGCCTGAGCTACCCTGGCAGCCTGGCACAACCGGGGCACATCTACGAAGGGGTGGACTCCAGTGCCCGGCGCCTGCCGCGCTTGCCCCCYGCCCGCCCCGTGCCCGAGGGGCCGGGCAACCTCCCCCTGTACTACCCAGGCCCCCATGGGCAGGGGGGCAAAGGCGGGCACAAACTGCTGGGCCAGGTGCCAGCGAGCTGCGGGGGGAGCGGGCACTACAGCGGGGGTCCCGAGGGACTCAAAACCACCTCCTGTTACTACCTGGACTCGGGCGAGCAGGTGGCCAACAGCCTGGACTCACTGGACCTGGAGAACACGCACCTTGACTTCGCTGCCATTGTGGAGGACGTGGAGACCCCCACGGCGCTGCCCGGACCCCCCAGCCCGGCCGGGGGGCTCCTGCTGCCTTCCTCCGGGGGTGCCAACATGGCAGTGGGGGATATGAGCTCCATGCTGAGCACGTTGGCGGGGGAGAGCCACTTCCTCAACTCGCTGTCCTAACGGGGGGTACCTCTGGAGCCGGGGGGGGCTCCAATGTGTGGGGCAGAGGTGGGAATCCTTCTCACGCACAGGTTTGTGCCTGGGGRGAAGCGGGGAACATCCCTGGAGCTCCCCTTTTCCATCCTCTGAGTGTCACCCTCGTTCGGGAGGGTCGTAGAAAYAACCCCAACCCTTCAGGTCATCTCTGATGTGGGGGACTGGTTTTACCGGGCCCCTATTCCAGTGCCTCGGAGCTGCCCCCGCGCAGCCTTAATGCCGAAACCAAAGAGCCCCCCCGCCCCAGTGTTCCCAGTACCCCCCACCCCTCAAATCCCAGTCTGTCACGACTGCAAGCCCCCCCAGTCTGGCTCCAGAGGGGCAGTTCCCCAGAAATGGGGCGGGGGGTGCCTGTACATAGCGTTCATTTCTGTCTGTCTGTCCGGAAGGGGAGGGGGGGTCCCCAAAAACTCCCGTCCGTGAGAGCACCAGCAGTGCCACCACCGCCCTCCCCCCGCATTAAACCCTTTCTCAGGGGACTGTGACTGTGTGTTTGTCACCCCTGTGGGATTCTCCTACCTTGGGAAGGGTGGACAGGACCCCCAAACCCCCTCTTTGGTCCTCACCACCCTCCCTATTCGGGATCCGAGGCTGTTCCTGTGCCCCAGAGTGAGCGGCATTGGTTAAAAGAGCAATTCGTGCTTCAAATAATGGCTTGAATAATGCTGTTAATTATGCAAAAATTGGTTAAAATAATTCGATCGTGCGAAAAAAAATTACCTAAGATAACATAATGATAAAAAAGCTTAAAATAAGGCAATTTTATATTATTTAGTTAATGTAATTAATGATGCAAAAATTGCTTAAAATAATGCAATTAATGATGAAAAAAATTCCATGAAATTATGCAATTTTGTATAATTTGCCTGAAGTAACACAATAATGCAAAAAAGTGCTAAAAATAACGCAGTTAATGATGCGAAAAAAATGCTTAAAATGCAATAATGCAACATTTRCTTACATTAATGCAATTATGTGTGCAAGATCTGTTTAAACAACGCAATTGTGCATAATTTGCTCAAAATAACTCAATTAATAGTGCAAAAAAATGCTGAAAATCATGAAATCGTGCCAAAATTTGCTTAAAATAACAAAATTAACAAGCAAATTTTGCATTAACGCAATTTTGCATAATTCGGCTAAAGCAACGCAATTAATCATGCAAAAAAAAAAAAATGCTTAAAATAACACGGTTATAGAAATCAGGGTGTTTCCCCGCACACCCAGAGCTTCGCCACGCTGTAATTAACCCGTAATTAACMCGCAATTAACACGTTATTAACCCGCGGCARCGCTGGGGCTCCGGTGGGCCGTGCYGGTGGCGCCCTCTGGTGGTGCCGGTGGTGAATGAGCGCAGCGCTCCCGGTGGTKCCCGTCGGTGTCCCGGGAGCACCGATCCGTGTCCGGATGGAAATTCCGTGGGCCTGGAGCCCTCCGGGATATCTTCCGTCGGTCCCCTGGAAGTCGCGGAGTCCCGGGGCTCTTTTCCGCCTCCCTCCCCGAGGCAGCGACACCGGAGGGGACAGCGCTTGGGTGCCACCGGACCCGTCAACCCCGGGGGCAGCCGGTACCGGCTCCAGGGAGGTGACACCCCCGGGGACGCAGAATTCCACCCTCAGCCTGGCGTTGCTCCCCTTTCTGCCCCATTCCCTTGGGCAGCGACACCGGAGGGGACAGCGCTTGGGTACCACCGGACCCGCCAACCGCGGGGGCAGCCGGTACCGGCTCCAGGGAGGTGACACCCCCGGGGACGGAACAGGACCGCGAGGATGCAGAATTCCACCCTCAGCCGGGCGTTGCTCCCCTTTCTGCCCCATTCCCTTGGGCAGCGACACCGGAGGGGACAACGCTTGGGTGCCACCGGACCCGCCAACCCCGGGGGTAGCCGGTGCCAGCTCTGGTGGCGGGAGGAAAGCTGGAACTTCCTCGGCCCCAGGGCAAGGAACACCCGATATTAAATACAGCTGGGGTTGTGGTTGGGACGATAATAAATAGGCGATAAATAGCGATAAATAGTGAGGGGACAAGGCACAGGGACACACTGCAAAGGCACAGGGACACCCCACGGCATCGTGCCGTGGTGCTGACAGCAGGAATAGGAATTGGGGGGCTCCCAGCAATTCCATGCCCCGCACGGGACTCAGCAGGGTCTGGCAAAACCCCACCACAGGGTCGGGGCCATCACGGCGGTTCCCCTCTGTCATTTCCCCGCTCGCTCCTTGTGCGACTCCGTCACCACTTGCTGCAAGAGGAGAATTTGGGGGTCAGGYTTGAGCCTCCCGGGCAGGGCACCCCCAGTTCCCCCCTGCCCGGTTCTCACCTGCCCATCCCGAGTCTCGATGGTTTTGATGAGCACCATCCTCCGTGCTGGGCTCTCCACGGGTTGGGGTTCCAGCACTGGGCACAGAGGGGYCATCAGCACCCCATGCCCTCCCAGACAGCCTGGGCAGGACCACAGGGACCCACCCACATCCCCCAGTCTCTCTACCCCCAAGAAAAGACCCCCAGATATAGTGGGAGACCCCCAGCTTGATTCTCACCTGAGCTCCTCATGCTGAAGGAGGTTGTGGGGTGCAGCGGGATGGTGATCCTGGGGGAGGAGAGGGGGATGAGGAGGGTCTGGGACTCGTGGATATTGCCGGTRACCTTTCCACGCCCTCAAGTCCGTGACCCACATCCCAGTTCGGCCGGGGGCTGTGCCCGCGGGCTGCCAGGCTGGCACCCAGACCGGAGCTGGAGGCAGCTCCCCCAYCATCCCGCCAGCCCCTGGCCTTGCTTTTATCTCAGCAGCAAGAAGCTCCCATGGGAACTTCTTATTTTCCTGTGGGAACGAGGCCTGGAGCTGCCTCCTCCCAAAAAAATCCCACAATAACCGGGGTGACTCAACGCGGGGGCCCTTCCCCTCCCGGCGGTGAGTGCCGGGCTCCCCTCACCGGCTCTCCTCGCCCTCCAGCAGCTTGCGGTACGTGGCAATCTCGATGTCCAGGGCCATCTTGACGTTAAGCAGGTCCTGGTACTCGCGCAGGTGCCGCGACATCTCCTCCTTCATCTGCTGGATCTCCTGCTCCAGCCTCCCCACCACGTCCTGGTAGTTCCCGATCTCTTCCCCGAACTCTTCCTCCATCTCCCGCATCTGCCGTTGCAGCGCCTCGTTCTGCRGGGGGAGAAGGGGCTGCTGCGTAGGGGTGGGGTGGGRTCTGGTCCCCGCAGCCCCCTCGAAMGCTYCCCRGCTCTCACCACGCCCTTCAGCCCGTCCACCTCGCAGGTCAGGCTCTGAATYTGCCGCCGCGACTCGTTCATCTCCTGCTTGGCCAGCCGCAGCGCYTCGTGGTTGCGGTTTGCCGCATCCGAGAGGTCGGCAAACTGCAAGGGAGAGGCGAGTCAGGATTTTTGGGTGGCTCAGCCGCCCCAAAATCCCTCCCAGCCCCGGGTACCTTTGACTTGTACCACTCCTCGGCTTCCTGCAGGTTTTTGACGGCGATGCTCTCGTACTGGGTGCGGATCTCACGCAGCGCCGCCGTCAGCTCCGGTTTGCAAACCTCCACCTCGGCCAGCCCCGCCGGGCTCGGGGCGCTCACCTCCAGGTCCCGCAGCTCCTGCGAGGGCGRGTGGGCGTCGGGTGGTGGCACAAGGAGCTGAACGGCTCCTCTTCTCCCCTCCCCACCCCGGCCCTCACCTCCTCGTGCAGCTTCTTGAGGAAGCCGATCTCGTCCATCAGCAGCTCGACCTTGCGCTCCAGCTCCAGGCGGGACAGCGTGGCGTGGTCCACGTCCTGCGGGAGAGGCCGGGATGAGCTGCAGAGCAGCGTGGAGGGGGTGAGAAGCCCCTGGAGCCCCCCGCGGGGTGATGSGGGATGAGGATTGGGTGCTGCACAGGGAGACGGCCCCCCAGTCCCCTCACCTTGCGGAACAGCACCAGGCTCTTCTCGGCATCCTCGCGCTTCTGTGTCTCGTCCTCCAGYCTGGGGACAGCAGGGGATGAGGGGGAGGTGGGGGTGGGGGTGCAGACCCCCTCTTTTTGCCTCCTGTTGCAGCCCCCTCCGCACACAGTGGAGGAAAACGGGGATGGAGCGTCCCCCAGCGCTCCGCTCCCAGTGCCCCACCCTTGCCCTGCCCCTCCCAATGCCCCACCCTTCCGCAGAGCCCAGATCTCCCAGTGCCCTCCGTGCATCCCCGAGTACCTACTGAGCGTATCCCTTCCCTGGGGTCACCCAGTACACCCTGGACATTYACCCGTCCTCACCCCGACATCCCCGGGACTCCCTCATCCCCATCCCGCCGCATCCTCCGATCCCCATCCTGGTGCAAGTCTCATCCAATCCCATCCCTCAYGCCAGCGTTTCCCCCAGCCCCTCACTGGCACATTCCCCAGTCCCCATCCCATTCATAATTCATCCCGACACATCCACGGTTCCCATCGCCGTGCCTCTCTCACCGCAGTTCATCCCTCATCCCGCATTCTCTCTGGTGCATCCTCCAGTCCCCACCCCGGTACATCCTCCAGTCCCCACCCCGGTACATCCTCCAGTCCCCATCCCGGCGCATCCTTCAGTCCCCACCCCGGTGTATCCTTCAGTCCCCACCCCGGTGCATCCTTCAGTCCCGACCCCGGTGCATCCT